CCAGCCTCTGCTCTCAATCCCTTCCTCCCCATCCCTCCGTCTTTCCGCTCCCCATCCCTCTATTTTCCGCTCCCTATCCCTCCATTTCCCATCCCAGTCCCTCCATTTCCCATCCCAGTCCCTCCATTTCCCATCCCAGTCCCTCCATTTCCCATCCCAGTCCCTCCATTTCCCGACCCCATCCCTCCGTTTCCCATCCCCATCCCTCCGTTTCCCATCCCAGTCCCTCCATTTCCCAACCCCGTCCCTCCGTTTCCCAACCTTATCCCTCCATTTCCCATCCCCATCCCTCCGTTTCCCATCCCAGTTCCTCCATTTCCCATCCCCAGCTCCTCGGTTTTTGGCTCCCGGTCCCTCCGGCTTCTCCCGTCTCCATCCCGCCATCTCCTCCGCCCCAAATCCCTCCGTTTCTCCGCTCCCCATCCCTCTGCTCCTCCTCTCCCCATCCCGTTATTTCCCATCCCTATCCCTCTTAATTCCCATCCCTCTGTTTTCCACTCGCCATCCCGTTATTTTCCATCCCGTTATTTTCCATCCCGTTATTTCCCATCCCTCTTCTTTTTCCGTCTCCATCCCTTTAATTTTCCTCTCCCCATCCCTCTTCTTTTCCATCCCCATCCCTCCATCCTTCCACTCCCCATCCTGTTATTTTTCCATCCCCATCCCTTTAATTTTCCTCTCCCTGTCCCTTTAATTTTCCTCTCCCCCTCCCTTTAATTTTCCATCCTCATCCCTTTAATTTTCTATCCCCCTCCCTTTAATTTTCCATCCCCATCCCTTTAATTTTCCTCTCCCTGTCCCTTTAATTTTCCTCTCCCCCTCCCTTTAATTTTCCATCCTCATCCCTTTAATTTTCTATCCCCCTCCCTTTAATTTTCCATCCCCATCCCTTTAATTTTCCTCTCCCCATCCCGTTATTTTCCGTCTCCATCCCATTATTTTCCATCCCCATCCCATTATTTTCCGTCCCCATCCCTTTAATTTTCCTCTCCCCATCCTGTTATTTTCCATCCCCATCCCGTTATTTTCCGTCTCCCTCCCTTTAATTTTCCTCTCCCCATCCC